TCCGCCAATTTTTCCTCCAAAATGTTCACATAGATGTAAAAGTGCTTCGTGTAAAATTTTAAGATTCCAGCTCCAATAGTTTCCCAAATAAACGATTTTTTGTATTTAATTCATATGGGAGTACCACGCCCCCTATTGCTATTCCGCTAATTTTTTGTACTAAATATTCATGTTGATACTAAAGTGGCTCCGAAAAATTAGAGCTGTTATATTTTCTCAGATATACTAATTTAAGATTTTCTTTAAATGGGAGGGGTCACGCCCACTATATATATATGTTCACGTGGTTGTCAAAGTAGTCTGTACCAAATTTGAGGACTCTAGCTGTTGCAGTTTCTGAGATATGTGATTTTAAATACTTATTATGTATATGGGCGTGGCATTTTGCCCACATGAAATTTTAAAATAAAAAGAACCCTATAGACTTTTCTGCACATTTTCTGAAGTATTAAAATATTAACATCAGACTTGTCTGCACATTGTCCAAAGGGAATTTCAGTGTTACGACAATTATGAGACAAATCTGCACATTGGCGGAGGACAATTTGCTTTTTATTCCTATATTATTTTTTAGACATAAAGGAGAATAGTCTGTACATTTTCTGAAGTAAGACAATTAAGCGAATAATATAAATGTCCTTTAGATATTTAACAGAATAGTCTGCACATTTTCTGATATTTTTTGCAGGGTCATTTTGTTCCCATTTTCAGTACTTTTGTAAGAAAACTTTGCGACAACTCTGCACATTATCTGAAGGAAATTTTGTTTTTTTAATAAACATTATGCAAAAACCTGTTTATATTTTGAATTTCGTCAACTGTACTTTAAAGGAAATTTAATTTTTATTTTCTCAGTTGGTCTTTGGAAATCAAGTAAGCAACATCTTCATATGTGATGATTATTTTTCTAAACTTTGTTAATAAACAAAAATTAGAAAAAAATTACATCATTTTTTATGATTTAATTAAATAATTTTAAATAGATGTATATAATGAACTCTATTTTCGTATTTGATATGTAAGTAGTATGGTTTAATTTTATTAATTTTAAAAATAATCTATAAGTTTCTATTATTTATTTATGTACCCTTACGAAGTCATGAATAATGGAAGCTAATAAATTATTATTAAAATTAATAAAATTAAACCATAATAAATTATATATGTATATGAAAATAGTTTTCATCAGACGTTGATCAGAAAAGTCAAGCCATTATCTTATACTTGATCAGACTTTTGAACGAACTGTCGGACATGTTATCAGACATCAGACTTTCTTATATTTGATCAGACTTTTGTGCGAAATGTCGAAAGAATGTCAGAAATGGTATCAGACATTTGTCCGACTTCAATCAGATTTGTCTAAAATTCCTTCAGAATTTTCCCAGAAATTTACATCAGATTTCGTACCGAAATCTGACCGACAGCTCTGCACATATTTCCGAATTTCCTCAGACATAGAGTTCCGAATTCCGAGCAACCGTTTACGATTTTCGTAACGAATTCTGACGGAATTCGGATACGAAATCGGCAACTTGTGAAGACTGTCGGTAAGAACTCGTTACGAATTCTGCAAAAATTGTTTAGTGGGTACATACAGTTAACTAACTGTACATACAGTGAATCAATTAATTTGCCTATGTAAAATTTTATAAATCTTAAGAAAAAACGTTGCCTGAACAATTATTTTTTACAAAGTTAAGTTATTTTAATTTTCTACCAAAAAAGTAAAATCGTGATATTAACTAACGAGATTTTTGATAAAATGTGAACGTATTGTTAATTTTTTAGGTCTATAAAGTATTTTGCTTTTTTAGGTTTTTTGTTTATTTTTTAATATTGCTATATAATATATTTAATACAATTTTACTACTCCTGTATATTAAAATAAAATTTTATAGATATTTATGTAGTGGTACGACTAAATTTGGACATTTCTTTAACCGATTTATTATCCTATATACCTATAAGAATTTATCAATATTTGACTTAACATGAAATCTATCGTTTTTTGAAATGGATACATGATATGCTAGAAAATCAGTGGATTTGGACCTAGAAGAAATGTTTATTGGGGTATAAAACTACATATTTTAACAAAATAATCTGGGTTTTCAGTCATTTTGTATTGATAAACAAAAAACTACATTACGGAAACCCCATCTATTTTGGGGAGTACTGTAAGAATTTTATTTAGAATTGTATAATATTGATTCTTATTCAATAAAGCCAACACTAAGTACCATCCTAGCCACTCTAAGTATGGGGATATCACCGTATACCACTATAAAACTATTACATGCTAAAATCTTGATTTTCTACCTGATATTTTAAATGCTTTATTTTATGAATAAAATACAGTAGGCGTAGTTGGATTTGGATAGTTATTCTTGATTTGGGTTCTAACGATATATAAGTGTATGTATTAGCTGAAAAATATTGCTTTTGTGGACCTTAGGTGATGAGAACCGCCTCTATTTGTAAATATCTAAATTAAGTATTTTTCCTGTACCACATGATAGTTCACTTTATATTGTTTCCAAGCAACCTAAGGTCTGTTGAGAGGTCTAAATTTAAACATAGTGTTCTTTTAAGTTCGTATATGGACTTTGGAGAAGATAAATGGGGACTTCAATGGTTTTTGCTTGAATACAAGTCGCTCTCCTTTGGCAGTTAAAGATTTTGAAAGACAACCCAGTGCGCTTTTTAATAATTCAATTTCTATATTTTATATTTTTTAATGATTGAATTTATAATTGAATTTCATTGATTTACACTTGTTCTAAAAATCTAAACTAATTTTTTATATTGGAATTGCCTCATTATTTCCCTTTAAACATTTTTAACGCAAATAACTACACAGTTTTACACTATAAGGATATGATTTTTGAAAATTACAATTGAAAAATACTTACACGTGTTCTTTTAACAATAAAGCAATAAATTCCAAAAAGCAATTAAAAAATAAATTAACTTTTTACCTTTTTGTTTGAATTTTATATTATTTTATTTATGACCAAAAAACAAAATTCTCTTTAAACAAGTAAGAGTGCTATATTCGGCTGTGCCGAATCTTATATACCCTTCACCACAGTGTATTTAAAAAAATTCAATTCTATAAAATTTTAATTTATTTCATTTTCCCGTTTATATCATTATTATGGCAATAGCAAAACGAACAACAACATCGCTAAACGAAATAAACACACACAAAAACAAAATACACAAGGCAGTAAAACCAACAGGTATCCAAACATACGAAACGAAATACACAAAAAACAAAATACACAACGCAATGAAACCAACAGACATTAAAACATACGAAACTGAATACACCAAAATACAAAAACAATATACACAAGGCAATGAAACATACGAAACAAAAAACTCATAAAAATAGCAAAAACAAAATACTCAACGCAATGAAACCAACAGACATCCAAACATACGAAACTGAATGCACCAAGAAACAAAAACAATATACACAAGGCAATGAAACACACAGCCATCCAAACATATGAAACGAATATTCAATGAATAAGCAGTGTTTTTGTTGTTGCTTATATCAAAGCATGAAAAAAATAGTATTTTTTATGAATTTTTCAGAGGTTGTCTCGGATTTTTGCTCATATCTCCGGTATTTATGGACCGATTTTGCTGATTTTAAATAGCGATCTTCTCGAAAGCATGTCTAACAGAATTATTTAAGATTTGGATCTCGCCACTATCTGGGGTCCTCTAAAAATTGATTTCAACAAACACACAGACGGACAGACAGACGGACATACCTTAATCAACTCCGCTACCTTTAAGGATCCTGAATATATATACTTCATGGGGTCGGAAAATGATATTATAGAAATTACAAACAGAATGACAAACTTATATATACCCTTCTCACGAAGGTGAAGGGAATAAAAAGGTAGGCAAAAAACTTATTTGATTCACTGTACATATGTAAGTATATACTTACATATGTACAGTGAATCAATATTTGATAGAGGACAATATTGACAGCAATATTGCCCATAGTGTCGCCAATAACAGAATTATATAACGACATTGAAGACATTGTCGTTTGCCTTGTCTGCATGTAAAATTATTGGCGACAACGTTTAAGAATTAGTCGTTCATATAGTCGTCAACAGAGTTAGATATATGACAACATTCAAGACACAGTCGCTCATCTTGTCATCATATGCGTCCGATAGAAGACATTTTTGAAGACAGTATCCTATATTTTGTCTTTAACATTGTTAATAGCGGACAATATTTAAGATGTTGTCGCTCAACTTGTCTTTAATAGGGTTTTAAAGATGACAACCTTGAGGTCTATGTCACTAATCTTGTCGTTAACGAAGAATTCTTACACATTGTCGTTTAGCCAGCTTCAGCAATTGGGGACAAATTCAAAAATTTCGTTCACGAATCGTCAACGACAATGTCGTCTACGATCATTTTGCCAATTGGGATGTAACGACGAAAATACTAAATAAAACGATAGTCGCGACTATGAGGTTGTAATATTTTTACTACAAAATTTAAATATTATTTAATATAGAAAATAGGTCTAAAATTTTACATTTTTTTTGTAATTGAAAGATTATAAAATGTGAGGAGTGTATGCAAAAATAACCAAATATTAATTAGAAAATTAGTAAAAACGTCTGTAGCTATGTTTGTATAAATGTTTAATGTATATTAAATTAATGTTTAATCTTTATGTGGAGTATTAAAATGTATTTATTTGTATTGATTGTAAAAGTTAATATAATTAGAAAATACAGTCGAACTTCCATATAATGAATCTTGACGGGACCAGAAAATCACTTCATTATATAGAAACTTCATAATACAGAAATTATATTTTTCCCCCACTTTTTATTTAAAATAATTAGGCATATTATTTTGGGTTACACTTTTTCATTTTTCTTCCACATGAAAACCTTGTAATACCAAATAAAAAAAACCATTATATGAAAATTATATTTTTTCCATTTTTATTTAAAATAATCAGGTATTTCAGTTTGGATTACACTCTTCCATTTCTCTTCCTCAACAAAACCTTCTAATACATTAAGAGATTTAAATACATTAGTCGGCACATTACTCCTCATCTCCACAAAAGTTCGAAGTTCATCTATTGATGAAGAAACATGCTCCAATGTAGGTATCGTCTTATTGACGTCAGCCAATTCTTCACCGGCCGGTTCTTCTTCATCCTTATCTGACTCTATAAATGTAAAATTAATGTACATCACACATTTATTTGGCATTAGGATTAAAATATGTATGTATGCACACAAAACTAATAAATAAATATGTACATATGTACCTGCCATTGCCGAAACTCCACGAGTTTCCAGAACACTGATGTGAATATTCTCATCGGATGGGATGCCCATGGTCTGCACATCAATTTCAATATTGACATAAACGGTGGCGTCAGCACTTTCCCCACAGAAGGTTTTTGCCGTTTTTTGAATTTGTCTAACCATCCTGTGCTAGCTTCAAAATCTTCGTGTCCCAATGCATCAGCGAACTCTTTGGCTTTTTGCTTCATTAATGGCCCACATACATACATACATACATACATACATACATACATACATACATACATACATACATACATACATACATACATACATACATACATACATACATACATACATACATACATACATACATACATACATACATACATACATACATACATACATACATACATACATACATACATACATACATACATACATACATACATACATACATACATACATACATACATACATACATACATACATACATACATACATACATACATACATTTTTAATTTTGGTAGTTCTATGCAGATTTACTTAAATGAGATTTATTTCTCTCATTAAAGTAAATGCAGTAAAAGAAGTGAGAAAAATACTGGTTTTTTGCTACGCACTTTTTACCATATTCGCATGTATGTAAATATGTATGTTATATGCGTAAGCTATATTTAAATATTGATACGCACTTTTTTTGGCTCTTTTTAAATTTTAATTATTATTAAAACTCACTTGCTTTTACTGCTTTGCTACGAACAGAAGATTTTTCATACATTTAATTATATGTAATTAGTTTCAAATATTTAATAAAATTAAATAACGGTTTAAATAAATACCCTACATAAGAGTTTAAGGATTTTTATTCGGTTTAAATAAAAAATATTGAAAATTATTTTAACTTAGAAAAGTTAAAATCTCGTACATTACATGGTGCCGAACCCGGGACTGGTGAATAATTGTGTGCTATTTGGAGTAACGAATTGGAATCTTATTGCCCTTAGATCTGCTTGCTTTGCGATCGGAACTTGGCTCTAGAACTTCTTGGAAATATCGCTTGTAGTCTTGAAGATATTTTGAAAAGTGAAACTTGCTGCAACAAATAAAATAAGGTTTGGAACTCTGCGTTACAGTTACCTTAATTTGTGGTTTCTGGAAAACTGTATGTTTGCATAACCTTTTGTATTATACAATACTGAAAATAAAAAAAATTTTGAACAAAAATGGCGGATATTCACCATCTTATTGAGGATCAAAAAGATTTATTTTTAAATTTAAAACGTACTGCTAGGTTATATAATTCAAGACAGCATAAAACGCATGGCTTCGCATACGAATAGACGAAATAGAATCAAATTTTTTGCAATTTAAAGACGGGAATACCCAATTATGCGCTGTAGTCCGTGACAATACTATTAATACAGAAAATATTCCGTATTTCGAAGACGATGTTTATTATCAATTTCAAGACGAGTTTCTTACCCTTAAAAGCCAATTGCTCGATTTCATGGATTCTTCTGTTACTCGTTCTCCTCGAATTCAGTCCAGTACGTTTGCTGGTCCCTCTCATTCTAGAAATGAAACCTTTTCGCTTCAGGCTCGTTTGCCGAAGATTGATTTGCCAGTTTTTAGTGGTGATTACCTCACTTGGATGTCTTATCAGGACATGTTCGTTTCGTTAGTCCATAATAATTCTGGGCTAACCGATGTTCAAAAATTTTGTTTTTTGAAAAATTCTTGTAAAGGAACTCGTGAACGAATATCCAGCAACGGATTCAAGCTACGTTTTAGCATGGACCGCTCTACAGAATAGATATCATAATAAAAGAAAAATAGTTGATACTATTTTTAAAAAAACTGTTTGCTATACCTTCGTCTGATGGCTCTTCCAAAAGCATTCAGACGATTTTAGACACAACACGAACTAGTATTGCCCTACTACGTACTTTAGAAATAAACACCGAAGGTGAGCATGCTATGCTTATTTATATGACAGTAAACAAGCTAGATGTACAAACCCGAAAGGAATGGGAGAAATCGCTTAATGCCTCGACTCAAATCCCTCCTATTGAAGATTTGTTCAAATTTTTGGAATCAACTTTTCGAACATTAGAAACTATTTCTGATCAGACTGATTCAAGCCCTAATGTTCCTTTTTCGAAACCAAAAACCCCACAACATCAAAATAAAAGTAGAAACAATTTTCGACGTTATGTAAATGCTGCAAGTACCGACTACAACTGCCCCTGCTGCAATAAGCGTCACCTTCTTTTCAAGTGTTTCAAGTTTTCTGCTTTACCATCTTGTGAAAAAAGAGATTTTTTGAATTCAAAGCGAATATGTCGAAATTGTTTAACCCCAGGCCACTTTAGTAACAAATGTCATGTAGCTTCTCGCTGTGAAGTCTGCAAACAAAACCACCATACCACTGTTCATAATGAGTATTTTATAAATCATGTTTCTAATACTCCGACCCCTGAACCTGTTATACCTTCTCAAACATACTCGTCTTCTCAAGGTATTGAAAACGTTACCGCTCATGTCGTTGACAATAATAAAACATATAACAGGAGGAAAAGGCCCCAAGTTCTCCTCGCTACGATGCGTGTTGTTTTAAAAACCTCTCAGGGAGATTTTGTTTTGCGTGCTCTTCTTGATCAATGTGCTCAAGCAACCTTTATAACCAAAAAGGCTGCAGATGCCTTAAACTTATCTTATAAAATGAACTTTGTGGAAATATGCGGTGTAGGTGGAAACCAATCTACTATTTCAAAGCAATACGTTAATTTTGCAATATTCTCAAGAATCGAAACAAATTTTAAAATAGATTGCGAGACTTCAGTTCTTCCGAAAATAACGGCATATCAACCTATGGCTATAAACGAAACATTATTACCGGATTTAAAGAAATTTTCATTAGCTGATCCTTATTTTTCGAAACCTGGGGAAATTGACCTTTTGTTAGGAGGAGATGTATATGGAGATATCATATTACCTCAGCAACAAAAATTTGAAAGTGGTTTATTCTTACAACTCACACATTTCGGTTGGATAGTTTCTGGCCCCTCACATGACAACTCATCTGAGCACATTATCACAGTAAATGTTTGTTCATTAGATAAGCAATTGCTGTCCTTTTGGGGACAAGAAGAATTGCTGGAAAAAAGAGCTTTGACAGAAGAAGAAATCCTTTGCGAAGAACATTTCAAAAGCACTACTTCTCGTGATTCATCTGGGCGTTACACCGTATCACTGCCATTTAAATCATTGCTTAAAGGCCTCCCGCTTCCAGTCTTTGGTCATACGGATTATGCAGCACTTTCTCGTTTAAAGAATGTTGAGTCAAAATGTAAATTGAATAAGAACTTTGGAAAACTTTATCTAGATTTTATGAAAGAGTATGAATGTCTCGGACATATGGAAAAGGTCGGTACCAATCCACGTGATTTAGAAAAAAATGGTTTCTTTCATGGTGTGTTAAGAGAGAGTAGTTCTACCACTAAATTGAGGGTAGTTTTTGATGGTAGCTGTAAAAGGTCTGCTCAATCTTCCTTGAATGAGGAACTAGCACCTGGTCCTGCATTGCAAAATGATTTGCCCACAATTATAAATCGGTGGAAACGTTTTAAAATTGGGTTTCGGACAGATTTGGAGAAGTTGTTCCGACAAATACTTGTGGTACAGGAACAACGAAAATTTCAACAAATTTTGTGGAGAAATTGTGGCTCTGAACAGATATCAATTTATAAGCTCTCAACGGTTACTTATGGTACTACACCCGCTCCTTTTCTTTCGATTAGGGTTTTACAACAACTAGCGTTGGACGAAAAGGAAAAATATCCGATGGCATGTAGTGTGTTCAATTCAGATACTTATGTCGATGACGTAATTTCTGGAGCTGATAGTCTATCTGAAGCTTACCATTTGCATACTCAATTATGTAGTTTACTTAATGAAGGCAAGTTTAATTTACGTAAATGGACAACAAACTCGAAGGAATTGCTAGAATTGATTCCTGTAGACTACAGAGAAAAATCTGATATATTTGAACTAAATCAACCTAATACCGTAAAGGCTCTTGGACTCAAGTGGAACACGATAGACGACTGCTTTTCATTTAAGATCAATATTGAAGATACGTCAGTAGTTACCAAAAGAAGTTTACTCTCAGACTCAGCAAAACTTTATGACCCTTTAGGCTGGCTTTCCCCTACTACAATTCTGGCTAAAATTGAATTTCAAAATTTGTGGTTGCTTGGCATTGAATGGAATGATCGCTTACCTGACGCTATGGAAAAAAGATGGTTAACACATCGCGAAAATCTAAAGTTTCTTGAAAGAATTAAAATTCCTCGTTGGATCGGAACGTTTAAATGTGGTTCAATTCATGGTTTTTCCGATTCATCTAAGTTGGTTTACGCGGCTGCTGTCTACGCTAAGACTATTTCAGATTTGGGTACAAAAGTGTATTTAATACAAGCGAAAACTAAAGTAGGTCCTATAAAGCGGTTAACTATACCTCGAATGGAATTATGTGCTGCTACTTTATTGGCTAAATTAGTTGACAGAATAACTTCTTCACTTGATCAAGATATTTCAAATGTTTATTATTGGACTGATAGTACAACTGTACTTTCGTGGATACGTGGTCAGTCATCTAAGTGGCCCTTATATGTTGGAAACA